TAGCTCCCCCCTTTCATCTGGAGAACCCACCACGCTCTGAGGTCACTCAAGCCACCTGAGGCTTCTTGCCACAGCCCCTAAATGCTTCGCTCAGCAGCAGGCCACCTTGGAGACAGATAGCCAACAGCAGAGGATGTATGTGGGCTCAAAGACAGTATCATTGCCATAGTCCACTGCCCTGCTGACCAGGGCCTCATAAAGCGAGAACTACTTAAGTAGGCTGCTCTTGAGCCGTGGCCCACAGAAATGGTGAAAGATGAGAGTCACTATTGTGTGAAGAAGAAAGACAGCCAAGGCAGTCCAAGATGTGCTGGGCAGAACCATCTAGGTGGTCAGTTACCAGGTACATGCGAATGAGCAGAGAAAGAGAGGCTTCGGCATGCATGTCTGCATATTACATGCACACACACAAAACACCTTGTATCATACACACCACAGACATCATACATCATACACAACCCACACCACATACCCATACCAAACACACCACACACATTCTCATTCTCTCATTCTCTCTCTCTCTCTCTCTGTGTGTGTGTGTCTCTGTCTCTCTGTCTCTCTCTCTCTCTCTCTCTCTCCCTGCCTCCCACTCACTACAGAAACACGTACCATGCACAAGAACGCAGCCAGGTGTCTGGGACACTGTACTGTGAGCAATGTAACTTTTTACAGACTTCCTGGTTGTCTGCTTTGTTTTCCTTTTCTTTTCTCCTCTACTCTCCTTACCTCCCTCTGCCCTTCTCTCCCCAGGATCTCATATAGCCCAGGCTATCTTTGGACTCACCATATACCCAAGGATGACCTTGAATTCCTAATCCTCCTGACTCCACCTCTCCACCTCCCAAATGCCGAGGTGAATGCACATGCATCCACACCTGGTTTAGGTGGTTCTGGGGACAAGCCCAGGGTTGCCTGTATGCCAGGGATGTACTCTACCAACTGAGCTACATCCCCAGCTGTGTCTTATTAGCCTTGAACCTTCAAAGTGCAGCCCAAGCTAACCTCAAACTTGCAGGCATCCTCCTATCAGCTCCCAAATGTTGATCACAAACGTGTACCAACATTCTCAGCACCCTGTATTTTTAATACTATAGAATGTCTTCACTGGAGGTGGGGGGTGCTTAAGACACACTCTTTTTTGTTGGTGGTGGGTTTTTTGTTTTGTTTTGGTTTTTGGTTTTTTGAGACAGGATTTCTCTGTGTAGTTTTGGTGCCTGTCCTGGATCTCGCTCTGTAGACCAGGCTGGCCTCGAACTCACAGAGATCCCCCTGGCTCTGCCTCCTGAGTGCTAGGATTAAAGGCGTGCGCCACCACGGCCTGGCTTTAAGACACATTCTTACTGTAGATAGACCTCAGGCTGTCCTGGAACTCACAAAAATCCTCCTGCCTCAGCCTCCCATTTACCAGAATTATAGGTGTGAGTCACCACATTCACCTTATTTAATGTTTTTCTGAAAAAGAGGATGGGACTAGACATGCTGGAGAGATGGCCCAGTGGTTAAGAGCACTTACTACTCTTCCAGAGGACCCAAGTTCGGTTCCCAGCACCCCATCAGATAGCTCCCAACTATGTATAACTCCAGACCCAAGGAATCCAATGCTTCTAGCCCCAGTGGGCAGCTACACTCAAGTGAATATTCCTACACACAGAAACATGCATACACAGAACTAAAAATAATTTAAAAAATAAGAGGAGTAGAGTAGGGATGGGGGCGGGGTGGTGGCGGCTGCGCAGCGCACACCTTTGATCCCAGCACTTGGGAGGCAGAATTAGATGGATCCCTGAGTTGGAGGTCAGCCTGGTCTACAGAGTGAGTTCCAGGACAGCCAGAGATAACACAGAGAAACTCTGTCTCGAAAAATAAAAAACAAACAAACAACAAAAAAAAAGAAAGAAAGATAGGGGCTGAAAAGATGGCTCAGCAGCTAAAATCATTTATTGTTCTTGCAAAGACGACCTAGGTCCAGTTCCCAGTACCCACACGGCAGCTCAAAACCACCTGCAATCTGAGTTCGAGAAGATACAATGTCCTTCTCTGGCCTCCCCAGGCACTGTACACATGTAGTATACACATACACATGCAGGCAAAACACTCATGCACACAACAAATACAAGTGATAAATCTTGAAATAAAACTTACTTAATAAAACTTATTAGAAGAAAGCTTTGCAAGTCCCTCCCCATCCAGTTCTAGGTCTGGCTATAGCAGACTGGGGCACAAAGGCCTGTTCCTTACCCTCGGGCTGGGCTATCCTGTGTCTGTCTCTCCCTGGCCCTGATCTGGGCAGGGCTTTCATAAGGCTGCCCTGCAGAGGCCTCCTCCCACCTAGAGTCAAACGCCCTCCCCGCTGCAGGCCTGTCCTCCCCAAGCCTTCCTTGCTCTTCCCGCCAGCCTCTGTGCCCAGCAGCATCCGCCCTTCTGCTGGGAGCAAGCCACGTGGAAACCAGAGCAGGAGAGGTTAGAGGCCCCTCTCACATCCTCTTTCTCTCTCTCTCTCCCCAGCTCCCTCTCCTCCTCTCCACAATCTAGCTTGTAACCCTCTTTGGTCTCAAACTCATGGCAATCCTCCTGTATCCTGGGATTACATACAAGTGTAGGCCGCTAGGCCTGGCTTTACACATCGCATTTCAAAGAGTCAGACTGGGGATGTTGGTAGTTGGTGGTAGGATGCTTCCCTAGCATTCATGAAGCCCTAGGTTCATTAGCCAAGCATGGTGGTACATGCCTATAATCCCAGAGCCCTGGAAAGATAAGGCAGGAGAATGAGAAATTCAACGTCATTTTCTGGTACAGAGAAAGTTCAAGGCCAACATGGTATACATGAGATCGTGTCTCAAAAATGGAAAGGAACCAGGTGTGGTGGCGCATGCCTTTAGTCCCAGCACCTGGGAGCAGAGGCAGAAGAACCTCTGAGTTCAATGCTAGCTAGTTCCAGGACAGCCAGGGCTACACAGAGAAAACATGTCTTGGAAAAAAAAAAAAGAAGAAACAGTCAACCTTGTAGGGATAAACAGGGAGTCCCCATATGTCCTCACAAGCCCACTCCCAGGTACATACCCCAAGAAAGGGAACAGGTCAACAGACAAGACTTGCAACCCCTGCTCACAGCAGCAGAACAGCCAAGATACTGAGACAACCCAGACTCCCACTGGCAGATGGACAGATAAACAAAATGTGCTGTGTCGATGCGCTGGAATGTCATTCAGCCATAAAAAGGAATGAAGTACTGACGCATGCCACAACAAGGATGAACACTATGCTCAGTGAAAGACTCCAGAAGCAAAAGGCCATACGGGGCACCCAGTTCTGTTTACAGGAAATGTCATGGACAGGCAAACCCTCAGACACACTGAACTTCTGGGATATGGGGAGGGACTACTGCATGCCTACACAGTCCGGCTGGAGGTGATAAATGTTATGAGTTGAAAGGGGGTGCACAGCCTTGTAAATACACTAAAAAATACTACATTGTGCACTCTAAAAGGATGAATTTAGCTAGGCCTGGAGGCATAGACTATAATCCAAGCAACTTGGAATGTGGAGGCAGGAAGATGGCAAGCTCGAGGCTTGTTTGGACTGTAAAGTGAGTTCAGGGCCAACCTAGGAAAACTTAGCAAAATCCTGCCTCAAAACCAAAAGGGGAAGAGAAGCCGGGCGGTGGTGGCGCACGCCTTTAATCCCAGCACTCGGGAGGCAGAGCCAGGCGGATCTCTGTGAGTTCGAGGCCAGCCTGGACTACCAAGTGAGTTCCAGGATAGGCGCAAAGCTACACAGAGAAACCCTGTCTCGAAAAACCAAAAAAAAAAAAAAAAAAAAAAAAAGGGGGAAGAGAGCTGGGTACATACTTCAGAGTATTGTCTACCATACACAAAGCCCTGGGTTCGACACCCAGAACCCGTCAACTAAGCATGGTGGTTCAATTTGCAGTCTCAGCACTGCAGAGGTGCTAACAGGGGACTCGGAAGCGTGTGACTGTAGGAGGGACACACGTAAGGCCCCACCCCTCCCTAAGAAACTCCAGTCCAGGGTTGCTGGGGAGGGGGAGGGAGGAGGAACCATCTTCCTTGGTGCTGTGATCACTGGTAAGTTGCCTTGGCTTAGGCAAATAAGCACCCACTGGAGCTCATGAGAACAACCCTAATTAAATGCAGTAGGTCACAAAAAGCAACAGAGATGTCAAAGCAGGAGGGGACTTGTGGGCAGATAAATTTCTGTGAGCTCGAGGCCAGCCTGGTCTATATGGTGAGTTCTAGGCCAGTCAAAGCTACATAGCAATACTATCTCAATATATATATAATATATATATATATGTATATAATATATACACATTTTATATAGATATTTATATATTTATATATATATCACACACAAACAAACTAGGGCTTGTGACATAGCTCGGCAGATACAGGTATTTGCCATCAACCTGACAACCTGAATTCAACCCCTGGAGACCACATGGTGGAAGGAAACACATACACTAAATACATCACTTATAAAACAAAACAAAGCCCAGCATTAAACAAGTGCCCCACGATACCGGTTTTCTCTCTCTTCCCAAGCTGGCACCCACGTCTAAGCTACACTCCTCTGTCCAGGCTTTGGTTCCCTGCTTCACAGGCTGTATAGAGGGTAGAGGTACTCACTGAGGGACTCTACTCTGTCTGGAGAAGTACTGGCTGTTATAACTGGGGAATGTTCCTTTGTCTCCAGCCGGTGGAGGCCACAAACACAGCTCATAATCCTACAGCATGCGGGATGGTCCCCAAGGCAGAAAATGAAGATTCTGACATGTGTGAGGTGCTCAAGCTGGACCACAAGGTCATTGACCACTGCTGCCCAGGTATTGTTGGTCTCTGGCTCTGACTTCACTACTCTGGCTCTGGCACCTCACAGAGTCCCAACAAAAACAGAATCAATGAACAAAGGGAGCACCCAACCCTTTATGCCCTGTGGATCCAACAAGCCCCAGGCCCTCCCCAGCAATCCTGGACACTCACAGGAGATGGCGAAGAGGGCCTTGACGCGTACCGTGTCGCAGGAGTCCCGATCGAGCAGTCGAAGCAGCTTGCGCAGGGCGCCCAGGCCCAACACCTGCTCCTGGATGGCTGCAACATTCTGACTGCATGTGCCGATGAGCTGGGCTGCCCTCCAGCGAAGCCCTGCAGGCCCTGCCTCTAGGTATCGGCCCACCAGCAGGTGCATGCCTGACAGCTGGCAGAAATCTAGACAGGAGGAGAGAAAACTGTCAAAGCCCCAGTTCACAGGCTGGCCTCATGCCTTAGGACAGGACTATATTGAGAAACAGTATGCGAGGAAGGGCTGATTAATGAGCATGGGGACTCGCTCAGGAATGATGAAAAATGCTGGAAGTGAAACGGGTCTAGGGCTAAGGCTGTAGCTCAGTTGGCAGAGTGCTTGCCTAGCACTCGTGAAGCCCTGGGTTTGAGTCTCAGCACCTCCGAAAACAGGCTTAGTGGTACCCTCAGCACTCAGGAGGCAGTAAGACCACAAGTTCTAGGTCATTCTCAGCTACACAGGAAGTTTAAGGCCAGTCTGCATACATAAGACTGTTACAAGCTGGTCAGTAGTGGTGCAGTCCTTTAATCCCAGCACTGGGGGGCGGGGGGCAGAGGAAGGCAGATCTCTGTGAGTTCTGTGAGTTCAAAGCCAGCCTGGTCTACAGAGTTAGTTCCAGGACAGCCATGGCTACACAGAGAAACACTGTCTCAAAAAAAACAGATGGGGAGGAACTGGGGGTACATGCCTATAATCCTCTGAGACAGGAGGATCAAAAGTTCTGTGTGGGTTATAAAGCGAGTTCAAGGCCAGCCTGGCAACTTTGTGAGACCCTGTCTCAAAATGCAAAATGAAAGGAGGGCTAGCAATATAGCTCAGTAGCAGCGTGCTGGCCTGACATGCTTAGGTCCTGAATTCCATCTTTACATCACACACAAAACCTGGCAGGTGATAGTTGCACAGTATCATAAATATTCTGAAAGATGCCCTGCATGCTGGCACAAGCCTGTAATTCCAGCACTTACAAGGCAGAAACAAGAGGGCTGCTACAAGTTCAAGGTCAGCTAGGATGTTATAGAAAGACTGTCTCAAAAAAAATCAGTCAAATAACACTAAATGAATGCTACAGAATTATATACACCTGAAATGGTTATTTCTGCTTTGTGATTTTTTTTACATTTACGTATTTATTGGGGAGGGGGGCATGCACATGTCATGGTACAATTTTGGAGGTCAGAAGAAACCTCTGGGAGTGGATTCTCTCCTTTCACCACGTGAGCGCCAGGAACTGAACTCGGGGCCCTCGGAACACACTCCTGCGGTCCCAGCACCGGGGTGGTAGAGGAAGGGAAGTCAGGAGCTCAAAGCCAAGCCCACTTACACAGCAAGCTTGAGGGGCCTGGACTGCCCGAGGATCTGTCTCACCAGTAATAACAAAAGGAATGCGGGGCTTGAAAAGGGCTCGGTGGTTAAGAACACTGGCTGCCTGCTCCTGCCGAAGACAACACCCACAAAGAGGTGGGTCACAGCGTCTGTAACTCCAGTTCCAGGGGGTCTGAAGCCCTCTTCCAGTCTTCCAGGGCACCACACACGTATGTGATACACATACGATAAAAATACATAGCACACGCCTTTAATCCTAACCCTCGGGAGGCAGAGGCAGGTTTGAAGTCAGCCTGGTCTACAAAGCGAGTTTCAGGACAGCCAGGGCTACACAGAGAAACACTGTCTCAAAAAAAAAAAACCAAAAAAATAAGAATAAATAAGTGTATGTATTTAAAAAAAGAATGTGGCCTTTGACCTACAGAATGCACCTTGACCCTGGCTGTCCAATGCCATTTCCTACCCTAGAACGACATGTCTCACTCTTCCTTGACAGGACTCCACTCTGTTCTGACCAGGCTAGCACAATCCCACCTCAGGACCACTACTCTAATGCTTTTTCCAAACCATGGATAATCCCAAGATACACCCTCGCTGGGTCTCTGATCAGTGCTGTACCTCAAGGTGACCTCACTTTACCGCTCCACCCCAAATGCCTCCCTTCTCATCCTCTAGAGAGCGGCAGTAGATGGCCATCAGACTGGGGGCAAATGACCAGTCTCAGGACAAACCTGCCACCACAGAGACTTGGTGGGGTGCAAGAAGGGCCTTGCTCCTGTGGTAACAGCAGGGAGAGGCTGGGAGGAGCTGGTGGTGCCACCCAGGAGAGAAGGGATGAGGGCTGAGCCATAGAGCATGGGGGATACTCTGGTGGGGGCTGGGGGATACCTGCCGCATTGTCCATGTTCTCGCACAGGTCTGCCAGCAGCTCCAGTGCCCCTTCACGCTCCTGCTGGTCAGTGGCCAGCTCAGCTTCACCAGCAGTTGGGGGTGCGGGCTGGGACAGCACCCGGAGGCAGCTCTTCATCTGCTCCACCTCCTCTCGCTGGCCCCGGAAGGCAGCCGACATGGCTTCCTGCAGCCACTGGCGTCTCTAGGGAAGAAGAAAGGAGGGTGGGGAGAGAAGCAGAAGTCTCAGTGAGTCCCTAGGTAGTGACATTAATCTAACACTGGGAAAGCACAGCGGCCTCATTCTGTAGTTAAGTCTGGCTTCCAACTCACAGTAGTCCTCCTGCCTCGGCCTCCCAACGGCCGGGATTAAAAGCATGCGCCGTACCACCACCACCACCACCTCCGCCGCCGCTGCCACCACCACCAGCAGGATACAGCTTTACTCACAAATTCTTTTCTAGTACTAAGGACTCAGTCCTGAAACAGGTTAAAGGAAAAGAATCGGGGAGTGCCTTTCAGGGGGTGTGGGTGGTGAACAGAGAGGCAGAGGAAAACAAACAGGACATGTAGTGTGAGACATGATATGACAACGTGACAAGCGTTGTGGAGTAGGAATAAGAGAGTGGAGGACCGGGGGAGTGCAGGGAGGCCTGCAGAACTAAATGGAGTCATCTTGGCGGGGCATGTGTAAGCAATCCAACAGGCCAGGGAGTAACCAGGTGGATCCTAGGAAGAATAGTCAAGGCAGAGGCAACCACCAGGAGGCCAAGGTAACTGAAGCAAGGTTAAATAAGGGAAGAAAAAAGTTGAGGAGAGAGAAACACCCCAGGAGAAGAGCAGGTTAGGCTGTACAGACAGTTGTTAAGACCCAGATTTTGCTCTGAATGAGGTGGGTGGAGCTACAAAAAAAGTTCTCAGCACGGACTGAGAAGTGTAAGAACAGAGACAAGAAGGCTTAGGAGGAGACTAAGTGGTCCATGCAAGAGAAGAGTGATGGAGCTGATCGTGGTGGCATACACCTATAATCCCAGCCCTGGGGAGGTTGGGAACAGCCTCGATTGTATCAACGTGAGAGACGGCCTGGGCTGTGGAAAGAGAACCGGCTGTAATCCCAGCCCTGGGAAGGTCGGGAACAGCCTCGACTGCATCAATGTGAGAGACGGCCCAGGCTGTGGAAAGAGAACCGGCTGAACGCTACAGTCTAAGGTGAGGAAGATAGTCAGGATGAAGCCAGGGTTCTGTCCTGACAACTAGCAGCTGGGGAGGGGCACATGAGATGCACTTGTTTCCCACAAGAGGTCAGGTTTGAGGATCGCTACACAACCAGGTAAAACACTGAGTAGGTGCCCTCCCGGTGCGGGGAGAGGTCTTTGCATCTTTACTCTACTGACACTCTGAGCTGGACAGTTCTGTATCGTGACACAGATCCTGAGAACTACGTGAGCTTGAACAGCATTTCTAGCCTGGACTCTCCAGTCGGGCCTCCGCCTTTAATCCTGCCCAGCACTGGGGAGGCAGAGGCCAGCGGATCTCTGTGAGGCCAGCCAGGTCTATAAGCAAGTTCTTGTACAGCTAGGGCTCTTACACAGAGAAACCCCATCTTGGGGAAAAAAAAAAAAAAAAAAAAAAAAAAGGCTCTATGGCTCTACCCATTGCTCCATTGCTAACTGTCCTCTGGAAAATTAGAAAAACAACAATAGGAAGCCCGGAGAATGAGGAGAAATCAACAAAGGACACAAACAAGGACTAGTGTGTACAGAGGAGAACTAGAAGACTACGTTGTCCCAAGAGGGGAGCTTCCAAGGGCTGAAATGACCAGCACACACCTGCAATCCCGGGACTCTGGAGGAGGAGGAGGCAGGAAGATCAGGAGGGCAAGGTCATTTTGGCCAGCCTGATCTGTATGAGCCTCAATCTTGAAAGAGGAAAGAAAAGAGGGAAAGAGGCTGTAAAGCTTTGTAATCATCCTCCCAGGTAAATTTGGGCAGGCTATCTCATTGTTCTGTGCCTGTTTCCTCCTCGGGCTGTAAAGACTCAATGACACAATGATTACAGATCATTCTATAACTTCGTTGAATTACTACACTGTTTCCATGTGTAGTAACTGTCAGCTAAAAAATTACATGTAAAATTCCTATCAACCTTCAAGACAAAACTCTGTCAGGTTTTACTATGGCTATTCCAGATGCACTGATTTAAAAAAAAAAAAAGAAAGAAAGAAAGGAAGATAAAGAAAAGAAAGAAAGAAAAAAATCTGAGGCATAGAGGGAAAAAAAAATCTGAGGCACAGAAAGGATGTGACTTGTCCAACCAAGGTCATGGCTGGCTACAGGCAAAACTCAACTGAACAGTGTGTTAAGTACAGCCCAGTCTACACTAGAACGTCAGAACTGCCTTATGAAACATTGTCATTACTATTATTATCACCATCAATTCAAAAACGAATGAAAACACGAGGGCTGGAAAGATTAAATAATATACCCAAGGTCACACTTGCGGGGGGACAAGGCAGAATCCAGGTCTGCCTCATTCCAGGGAACCCTAGTTTTTGTTTTTGTTTTTTTTATTTCTCTTTTCCCTCATCACGAGACTATTCTGCCTCCCAGAATAGGGCTGTGATCAGACACTCCACAGCTGACCTTCAGTCTACCATGATGCCACATTTAGACTCTCGCTCACCACCCAGAGAGGCATCAGCTTCTAGCTCATTACGCCACTCTTCCCCAAGACACGTATATCCCCAGGCCCCCTCACCACAGCTCCTGGGGTCCTCATACTTTACCTCTTCGCTCATGGGTTCTGGCGGGGGGTCTGGCTCCTGAGAGCCCGCAGTAATAGCCATCTGCAGCAGGCCTTGGAGGTTCCGGGGAGGCCGGGGGTTGCCTGAGCCCCCCGCCGAGGAGCCGCTGCCCCCCGACGAGCAACCCTGGGAGGCCGGAGGCAGCGCGAGGGGGAGGCGACTGCCCCCCGAACCTTTGTCTGCCATGGACCTTTTATGAAGGGAGAATGTGTTGGAGGAAGATGATGGTCACCGCTGAGGCAGCTCTGGCACCCGACGGGTCGACTCTTGAGGGTCTGCTGAGAAGGTGGCGTTTGGGGAGTGTTAGGAGCCTCCTCATGATCCCAAACCATTCTGCCTGCACCCACCTTAATCCTAGCCCCCTTTCCTTCCTTCATACCAACAGGACCCTTCCTCAAATCCAGATGCCCCTCCTTCCTCCCTAGCAACAGGCCCCACCCACTCTCCCTGGCAACGAGCACCCCCCCACACACACACCCCAGGCTCCACATCGTGCTTCCCCGTCTCTTAGCAACTCCACCGCCCCGCCTCCATGGCAACAAGCCTTCTCTCAGTCTCCTTAGCAACAAGTCCCCTCCCTTGTCTTTGAAGAGGGGCGCCCCAGTGGGGCTGATCTCACCTTCCTGGGTCTACAGCCGCCACCCACGCCTAGAGACAGACTCGCCTGCACCTGACTCTGGTGGGCGCCGCCATCTTTACCGGAAATACGCACGGTCTTAATCGGAAGTGCCTCCCGCCAAGCTGTTTTGCCCGGTTCTAAGCAGCACTTCTCAGCGGATACGGTACTTAGCTCCGCCTCTCTCGACTAGGCCCGCCCCCCCCCACTTGCCGTACACTCCCATTCGCGCGTTTATTATAAGCCCCGCCCCCTTGCTCCTTTGCGCACCTTAGAGAACACCGGACCCTCATTGGAAATGCAGACTCCTCCCCTTCCAGGCATAGACCCCGCCCACATCCATATTCCCCGCCTCTGTTCTAGGCCTTTCGGCCTCTCCCAGTCAAGTCCCGCCTCTTTCTTAAGTACCTGGACCAGCACTACCCGTCCCGTTTGGCCACGCCCCTACGCAGGCCACGCCCCCTCTCTGCTATAGGTCAGGCTGGTTTGTATGTCTCTTCTGATTCTAACAGCAGTTTCTACTGAGTCTTGGGATATCGCCCCTAGTACTCAGTCTCACCCCTTTCTCGGCCTCAGTTTCCCCGTTTATTACCGGCTTCAGTGTGGACCACTCTTCGTGTGAGTGGTGTATGTTATGTCTTTGTGTGGCTAAGCATGGTGTGTGCGGGAAGCAGTCAACATCAGGCGTCTTTCCCCTTCAGTCTCCGCCTCATTTTTTTTTCATCTTTTCCGAAATTTCCTTTAAAGATTATTTTTAATTATGTAGATGGGGGGTATGCACGAAAATGCAGATTCCTATGAGGCCGGAGACATAGGATCCCCTGGAGCTGGAGTTACAGGCGGTTTTGAGACACCCATTTATGGGTGCTAGAAACCAAGCTCAGGTCCTCTCCAAGAAGAGTAAGTACTCTTGACTGCTGAGCCATCTCTCCAGCCCCTCAAATTATTGTTATTGTTGGTGGTGGTTTTTAATTTTTTAGATGTATCTATTTACCATTTGTGTGTGAATGTTTTGCCTACAAGCGTGTGTGTGCACCATATGCTTGTCCTAGTTGGATTGCCTGGAACTGGGGGTATGGATGGTTGTGAGCCAAGTATGAACCTGAGTCTTTAGCAAGAGCGATAAAACAACAAGGACTCTGCATCACTGAGCTCTCTCTGGCCCACCCACCCCCCTTTTTGGTTTTGGTTTGGGGCTTGGTTGATTTTTTTGTTGTTTTGTTTTGTTTTGAGCTGGTATGGAGCTCAACATGATCAGGCTGCCCTCCAACTCTTAAATATCCACATGCCTCAGCATCCTGAGTGCTGGGGAGATGGCTCATCGGATAAGAGCACAGGCTGCTGTTCCAGCAGTCCTGAGTTCACTCCCAGTAACCACGTGGTGCCTCACAACCATCTGTAATAGAATCAGATTCCTCCTGGTGTGCAAGACAGAGCACTCATATACATGAATAAATAAATCTTTACAAAAAGGTGTGCACCTCCATGCCTGGCTTGTACTACACACACACACACACACACACACACACACACACACACACACACTCACGCATGGACGTGCGTCATGTGCATGCTTGGTACCCTGGTGGGCCAGAAGATAAGATCTGTTCCCTGGAACTCTTACTGCTGCTGTTCACAAATATCTTGATGACTTAAAACAACACTCATTTTTATATTACAGTTGTGAAAGACAGGAGTCTAAAATGACTATTTCTGAGCTGAAGTCAAGGTGAGGACAGGAGCCCTTCAGGCCTCTGGTGCAAAGCTGTTTTCCATCCTTTTAACAGCTTCTAGAAACCACCCTAATTTATTCACCTGTGGCCACATCCCTCCGGCCTCTCCTTGCATCTTCTCGTCTCCTTGCATCTTTTCCTCTCCTTGCCTGACTCTCATCCTCCACCATTCTTCTTACAAGGAGCTTGTGATTATGAGGGACCCACACCCACCAGGATGTTCTCTTTGCCTCAAGATCCTTAACCAAGAGCGGGGTGTGGTAGCACACACTTTAAACTCAGCACTCAGGATGCAGTCAGACTTCTGTGAGTTTGAGGATAGCCTTATCTATTTAGCAAGTCCCAGGCCAACCAAGGCCTTCTAGTAAAACCCTCTCGCTGCCGGGCGGTGGTGGCGCACGCCTTTAATCCCAGCACTCGGGAGGCAGAGCCAGGCGGATCGCTGTGAGTTCGAGGCCAGCCTGGGCTACCAAGTGAGTTCCAGGAAAGGCGCAAAGCTACACAGAGAAACCCTGTCTCGAAAAACCAAAAAAAAAAAAGATTTTAATAAAAAAAAAAAAAAAAAAAAAGATTTTAAAAACCCTCTCGCCACCCCACCCAAAAAAAAATCCTTAACGGAATCTCATCTTCAAAGTTTCCTTTGGCATATAAGGTCACATATTCAGAGGTTCTGGGAATTAGAACTAGAATGTATGGGTCTATGTATAATATATATGTATGTATGTATGTATATATAATGATATATGCTGTCACATAGTATAAATGTACATATGGCATATTTATATGTATATATTAATATTATACACACACATCATGATGGTAGCCTAGATGAAAGCTCCCGTGCATTCTATGAAAGTTACAATATGATACATAGATATCCTATGAAAACTTTACAATAACCTGTAAGGAATGTAATCGTATAACTTTGCCATCTCTACTGAGACACTCCAGGGCAAAAGGGGTCCTATTAATTAACAATAGCATATACCTGTAATCACAGTACTTGAGACAAAGAGGAGTTCAAGGTCAGCCCCAGCTACATAGCAAGTTCAAGACCATCTGGGCTACATGAGATCCTGTTTTGAAAAGGAAAACAGAATGGGGTTAGGGAGAGAGCTCAGTTAGTAAATAAAATACTTGCTGCACATGCTTAAGGACCAGAGTTTGATCTCTGGCACCCACAGGGTGGCTGTGGTGGTGCATGCTTGTGTCCCAGTGATGGAGAAGTGGAAACCAGAAGATCCCTGGGATGCATTAGCCATCCTGTATAACCTAATTGGCAAGTTGGTGCTGAAAAGATGCCTCAGCAGTTAAGAGCACTGACTGCTCTTCCAGAGACCTGAGTTCAATTCCCAGCAACCACATAGTGGCTCACAACCATCTATAATGGGATGTGATGCCCTCTTCTAGCGTGCAGGTTTACATGCAGATAGAGCACTCATACATTAAAAAAAATTGTTTTAAATCAAAAATCAATCCAGGTGGTGGCAGCATATGCCTTTAATCCCAGCACTTAAAGGCAGATAAGGGCAGATATCTGAGTTCAAGACCAGCCTGGTCTACAGAGTGAGTTCCAGACCAGCCTGGTCTACACAGAGAAACCCTGTCTCAAAAAACAAACAAATCAAAGATCTTAAAATAAAAACAAAAACAAAAACAAACAAACAAAAACCACAAGGTAGACAACTCCTGAGGAATTAAGCACATGTGTATATTCACATCTGCTCGAGAGCACACACACACACACACACACACACACACACACACACACAAATAGTAAATTACAGAACAGATGTGGGGAGAATACATTATACGCATGTATGAAATTTTCAAAATGCAATTTATGTTTTTAAAAGAGATGAAAGCTTATAATAGTTACAGAAGACCAGGTATAAACCAAAGACATATGATGACCAGTTTCTAAAGCCCTAGACAGCTGCCTTCTTGCTGTCCTCCTTGCCTTTGGTCACTCACCTCTGAACACTCTGGCCTCCTCAGTGTCATTGGGCATGACCCGCATACTCCTGCCTCAGGACTTCTTCACTTGCTCTTTCTCTGCCTAGACGACTCCCCGTCTTTTGTCTGTATGATTCACTTTACTTCCTAGCCAGCCTATCTAAATTCATACCTATTTCTAGAAACACTTCCCAGGAGAAATGGCTTGCTCTTCAGGGACCAGAGTTCATAAGCAGAGCAGTGGTGGCCCACGCCTTTAAGCCCATCACTTGGGAGGCAGAGGCAGGCAGATCTCTGTGAGTTCAAGGCTAGCCTGGTCTACAAATCGAGTTCCAGAACAGCCAGAGCTAGAGCTACACAGAGAATATCTCTCTCTCTCTCTCTCTCTCTCTCTCTCTCTCTCTCTCTCTCTCTCACACACACACACACACACACACACACACACACACACACACACACACACACGACCTGAGTTCAGTTCCCAGCACCTGCCGCAAACTGCAGGAAAATGTAATGGAATTCAGCTACTATCACAAAAGCTACTACTTGGAAAAGTCTCTGGGCACTTCACAACTGCCTGTAACTGCAGCTCCAGGGGGTCCAACAACTTCTCCTGACTTCCAAGGACACCCTAATGCACATGCTCATACATATGCCCATAACTAAAATCCTAAGAAAGGAAGCATTTCCTCACCCTTAGTCATGTCTTCAGCACAAACCAAGACTGTCTAAAACAGCTAACAACTTCTTTGCCCTGTTCATCAGCTACCCTCTCTGCTATCACGGAAATCCCATAGGTTGAGGAGTTTTGTTGATTTAGCACTCTGCCACATCCTTACCACTCAGAACACTACGTGGTTCAGATGTGATGTTCTGTAAAGATTGCTAGAATGAAGGTCGCTGAACAGGCTTGCCATTTCAAGAGCGCATCAAGTTTCGTGGGTGCACCCTATGAGATCATATGGGTGTCTAGCAGCTTTGGGAACCTGACATAGGGAAGGCTGTGGCTTGTGCGGAAGTCCAATAGAGACTGGATTCCATATGGTGAATGCAGATCTATGGTGCCCCCACTGGAGTATTCGGATTATACTGGGGCCCGTGTGAAGGTCAGGACTTAACAACAAGCACAGACTGCATCGGGATCTATCTACCTACCCATCTAGCTATATGAAACATTAGGGCTGGAGACATGGCTCTGTGGTTAAGAGCACTGCTGCTCTTCCAGAGGTCCTGGGTTCAATTCCCAGCACCCCACATGGCAGCTCACACCTGTCTGTAACTCCAGTTCCAGGGTTTCTGACACCCTCCTACAGACATACATGCAGGCAAAACATCAATGCACATAAAATAAATAAACATAAATTATATATTTGAGCAAGACGTGGTAGCACACGCCTTTAATTCCAGCACTCAGGAGGCAGAGGCAGGTGGATCTCTGAGTTTGAGGCCAGTCAGGTCTTCGTAGTGAGTTCCAGGACAGCCAGGGCTACACAGAGAAACTTTGTGTCAAAAAGCAAAACAAAAAATTGTTTATGTGCGTGGGTGTTTGGCTGTGAGTATGTCTGTGTACCGCATGTGTACTTGGTGCCCTGTAGCGAGTCCCCTGGAATTGGAGTTACATATGGCCGTGAACTGCCATATGAGTGCTGAGACTCAAACCTGGGTCGTCCGGAAGCAGCCTAGTGCTCTTAACTGCTGAATCATCTCTCCAGGGCTGTAATCCCACACTTGAGAGGCAGAGAGAGGCAGGAGGATCAAAAGTTCAAGGTCATCTTCCACCACATAATTTGAAATCAGGTCTAGGCTAGGCGTTGTCTTAAAAAAAAAAAAAAAAACAATAACAGGACATGGAGCTCTGATAATGGTGGGAACGTGGGCTTTGCCCCGGGAGTACAGAGTGTTGACCTCGGACACAGAGAAATAGATCGCACTTGCTCTACAATTCCCTGAAGCCCTTCCCTTCTCTGCCTTCTTTATCCTCTGCCTGACCCCAAACACACGCAGCCTGCAGTCTGTTCCCATCTAAGCCCAGCAGCTTCACCTCCTCCTGTGAATATCTGGACCCGTGACAGTCCTTGTTTTTCTTTGTCCCCTCTCTCTCTCTACATCTTCCTTAGCACTTCTCGGTCCCCTCATCCCATCTGGTTGTTTTGGTCCTCCCTGTCTCCTTCCGGGGGGTGGGGGCGTCTCACCTAGTCCAGGCTGTCCTCAAACGCACTATATAGCCGGGATGGCCTTGAACTCCGAATCCTCCCGCCCTCCTTTTCTCTTTCCGTCTCTCTGTGTCTTCCGCGCCCTGTCTCTGCTACCCTGCATCGTCCCATCTATTAATGCATGTCAGACTTCCCTTTGTGCCTCCACCTCTGCCTGTCTCCTGGTCCTGTATCTCTCTCCATCCTTCCGGGCATCCCTCTCTCCTCCAGCATCCTTTTCCTCCAGCATCCCTCCACCCATCCCAGCATCTTCCCACCTCCTCCCCATCAGTCCAGCGTCCAGGCCCGCCCCCTGCCACTCCCCCTCCTCTCTCCGAAAGGGTTAACCGTGGGGAAGGGCCGGGAGTCCCCGGATGGTGATGTCAGCGTGCCGGAGAGAAAGGACGAGGTGGCGGGGGGAGGCGGAGAGGAGGAGGAGGCGGAGGAGAGAGGGCGCGTGGGGGGGCGGGGGGGATCTCGGCCTGCAGCATCCGCCGGCCCCGCACTTCAGACCCCCCCTGCAGGGGGAGGCACAGGAAGGGGGGGGCCGGCCAGGGTCGGGCTGGGGAGGGGGGGCCGCGCAGCCCCCCCGGCCATGCTGACTCCAGGGGCCTGACCCCCCCGGCAGCCCCCCCTCCCCCAGCTCTGCGGCCCACCGCCTGGGGGGGCCAGCCCAGCCCCCTGGGGACCCCCGGAGAAGTGGGGAACAACCGGGGGGGCCGGGACGGAGGTGTCGCCGGCCCCCACCGGAGGAACGGGGCCACGGGCCGCAGGGGGGGCGGCCGGGGGACCGGTCGGGCCGGGACCAAGGGCACCATGTCGTCCGGGTCCAAGGAGGGTGGCGGGGGCTCCCCCGCCTACCACCTCCCACACCCACACCCACCCCAGCACGCCCAATATGTGGGCCCCTATCGGCTGGAGAAGACGCTGGGCAAAGGACAGACAGGTGAGCCTGGAACCTAAGCGGACACCTGGGGCGGGGGCGGGGTGCAGGAGGGGGCAGAAGGCGGGACCACGGGTATTTAAAGGGCAGACCCCGGGGTCCCTCATGGAAAAGGGGCTTGGGTCCTGAGTTCCAAGTGCCCGCGGTGTACGGATGTAGGGACTCTGACTCTGGGGCCTCGAGAGGGCAGGGGTCTGGGACTTCTGGGTCCGAGGGAGAAGTAGGGGTCCGGACTCCTGTGGCTCAAATAACCCTGTTGGGGCAGATGCTGGAGGGGCTCCAGGAGCAGTGGGGAAGTAGGCCCGCTGCGGGTGTGGGGCCCCGGCTGATTCTGCAAGCTGAGGCAGGCGGGTGCTGCTGCAGTACAGCCGCAGGCAGGGTGGAGGTGCGGGCAGGGTGGAGGTGCGTCCATCCTGAGAGAGGCTGCTTTCCTGTCCCTCTCCTCAAGCTCAAAAGGGGCCACCTGCGCTCGGGGCAGCAGGCTGGAGCCCTGGGGTGTGAGGTCGACCGCATTCTCCCCATTCTGCACAGTGTGGAAACAGGATGGAGAGGCGGGCTCTAGGAAGCTCAGCTCCCAGGAGTGGTTCTAGAAAGCAGGGTTGTGTTTGATTGTTGCTAAATGCTGACTGTGGCCACAACCACCTCCTTCTGGGTGGTGGGTGGAGGTGAACTAGGAGCCGACCTCTGGTGTTCCAGGCTGTGCGTCCCAGGTCCCTATGAAGCTGAGCTCCAGGCCTGAGATAGGAAGGGGAAGTCAGACTGTACATCTTGGTAGTACGAGTGTGAAGTGTTGTTGACCTCAATTCATGAATTATGGAAGGAGGAGAGGTCAGGAGCCTGGATTGCTGAGTCTGAGGGAGGAGGGCTGGGGCCAAGACTCCTGGGACTGAGAAGGTGGTACATATCCGATCTCTGGTTGCTTAAGTCGTGGAGTTAAGGACTCCCAGGAATAGGTAGGGTTTCCTGAGGCGGGTGGTCGGGCTTGGAATTTGCATGCTGTTGACCGTGGCAGCTACTTTTTAAGAGTTAAAAAAAAGATAATTGAAGGTTTGGGGTTTGGAAGGAGGTGAGGATGGGGAGGCTTGGGAAAGAAGAAAACTTGAGGGTGTGTTCTTTGTGAGATGATGGGGTTTCTGAAGTCTGAAAGGCAGAAATTTCAAGGGAGTGATGGGTTGGTTGAGAGAGCAAGGAGACAGATTGGGAGAAAGAAAATCTGGAAAGATGAAGTTGGGCCAGGGAGTCAAGAGTGAAAGCTGGGGAAGAGGGGCAGAGGGCGGACACTCAGCCGGAAGGAGGGGGGCTTGGGGAGTGATTGACAGCTTAAGAGCTGGGAGGAGACCCAGGAGAACACTCCATATTTATTTTAAATCTGACCTCCAGGGCTGGTTAAACTTGGGGTCCACTGTATCACGGGCCAGAAGGTTGCCGTCAAGATCGTGAACAGGGAGAAGTTGTCGGAATCGGTGCTGATGAAGGTGCGTGTGCATAAGAATGTGTATGTGGTCAGAGTACCCTTTGGTGCTGAGGGTACGGTAGAGAGGTCGTGCTGACCCCTTCTCTTGTGTCCCTGGCCCCTCAGGTGGAGCGGGAGATCGCCATCCTGAAGCTCATCGAACACCCGCACGTGCTCAAGCTCCATGACGTCTACGAGAACAAGAAATATTTGTAGGTATTTATAGACGCCCAGCCCCTCCATTCTCCCTCCCCATGTTATTATTCCAGAAACAGGACCTAATGTAGCCTGGCCAAACTCAACTGATCGAGTGCTTCTGTAGAATGCAGGAAGCCCTGAGTTCGACCCCCAGCACCGCATAAACTGGATGTGACAGCACACGTACGTGTAATCTCAGCTCTAGTGAGGTGAGGCAGGAGTATCAGAAGTTCAAGGTCATCCTCAGCTACATAGCTGTGTTGGAGGCCAGTATGAGCTACACGTGACCTGGGCCAGTCCCTTCCCTTGCTTACAGGAACACCTGCAATTCACACTCCGGCCTGATGTAGGACCAGAGTGGCCCTGAGTGGGGACAGAGGCGGAGCCTCTCAGTACTGTCTTCCTGCCTCAGCCTCCTAAGTAAAAGAGATTACCAGTCTGCACCAAGCCCAACTAACTGCCTTTTCCTCCCTGAGGCAGTTAGGGTTAGCGTTAGCCTAGTAAAGCCTGACGGATCCTTCCAAATTCCCACTCTGGGACATCGGAGATCTCTCCTATCCTGGCATCACTTCCGATGCCAGGGCTGGCCACCCCAACAATGGACCTCCTCTGGGAGTCCTGAGTCAGTATCACAAACTCCTTTACCATCCAGTTAAGATGGGGGTGGGGGGGGGTCAGCTGTCTGGGCATCAGAGAATGACTCTTTGTCCAGACTCTGGTGGCCCAGAGAACAGCTGGACTGGACAGCAGGAGAGGGGACAGGCCTCACGCTCCCCCCACCCCCTTAACCTACATCCCCAGGGTGTAGGATGAAGCCACTCCAACAACCATCAGGTTGGTGGGACAGGTTTCCCCAGGCTGGAAGCAGTGCCCAGCCCCAGGTTCTCATGGGAGTTGTAGTCCTTAGGCTTCCCAGGTGTGGAGGCAAGGAGAAGTCATCGTCTCCAAAGTTGATGGTTACCACTCCCACTCCATCATCAGTGCTGAGAGAGGGCTCATGAGGATTTGTGCTTCACATGGGAATCTAGCTGTCCAACGTCTCAGAAATTGAGTTTTTGTTTCCAGGGAGCTGATAGGAACTGGAGGTTTAATCTTTCAGAGCCTGATGGGATTTGGAGTCTCTAGAATCCAGGTGGCTGATGGGAATTGGGACTCTCTATGTCCCGGAGGCTTATGGGAAGTGGGAGGGGTTTTTGCTTTGTTTTGTTTGGTGGTTTTTATAAACTTCTTTGAATTAATGGGAGTTGTAGTTTCTCTTTGGTGTACACTGTAATTGTTACTGCCCAAGAATGAACGAGAACTTGGGTTTATTCAAGTCACAGGCTTGTGAGAATTAGAGGCTTGGCCTGGGGGAATGTGCTAATGGGAATAGGCTCTTTATTTCCCAGAGTTCCATGGTAATTGTGGTTTCTGACCTCAGGTGCCAATGGAGTTGCTTTATCTCCAAAAACAACCAAAAGTTTCCTTGGGAGTCTCTGCTACCCGGGACTAGTGGGAATAGAGTTTTGGTTTCCTAGAGACGTGTGGATATTGGAATCACTTCTCCTAGAGGCTTGTGGCCATCGGAGTCTCCTTCCCAGGGACTCGTGGCAGTTACAATGTCTTCCTTGCAGAGACGGGTGGGAACTGGGGCTTCACTGTCTTCAGTGAAGGGAGACCAGGCCTTGGTCCTTCACATGCCCCTTCCAGCCCTCGGCCCCGTCGGTGTCTTGCAGATACCTGGTTCTGGAGCATGTTTCTGGTGGTGAGCTGTTTGACTACCTGGTGAAAAAAGGGAGGCTGACGCCCAAGGAGGCCCGGAAGTTCTTCCGACAGATCGTGTCAGCGCTGGACTTCTGCCATAGCTACTCCATCTGGTGAGGGGACAGCTGGAGGGGGAGATGGCTGAGGGTGGCCCAGGAGGCAGGTCCCTGCAACCACATGGAGGGCTGAGCAGAAACCAGTGTGGTTAGCCCTCAACCCTAACCTTTTTAAAATTCCTGGTATTGTAACTCAGACCATACCATTTACCCTTTTGAAGAAGGGTACAGTTTCGTGGTTTTAAATACACTTTCAGTCTTGTGCATGGTTGCTATGTAATTTTAGAACTTTTTTTTTTATAATTGTGTGTGTGTGTGTGTGTGTGTGTGTGTGTGTGTGTGTGTGTGTAGTTTGAGGCTTGTACACGCCTTTGTGCACACTAGGCATGCACCACCCTTTGCCATATATCCCTGGCCTTTTTCTTTCTTTCTTTTTTCTGTGTGTGTGAGAAAGAAACCAGGTTTCTTATAGCACCTCTATATGTAGACTCTATGTAGACTAGCCTGCCCACAAACTCATTGCAGTCCTCCTGTCTCAGCCTCCCGAATACCGAGATTACAGTTGTGTACCACCACATGCCTCTGTATTTGGTATTTTTTTTTTTTTTTTTTTTTTTTGGTTTTTCGAGACAGGGTTTCTCTGTGTAGCTTTGCGCCTTTCCTGGAACTCACTTGGTAGCCCAGGCTGGCCTCGAACTCACAGAGATCCGACGGCCTCTGCCTCCCAAGTGCTGGGATTAAAGGCGTGCGCCACCACCGCCCGGCTGTATTTGGTATTTTTTACATTTTATTTTTTACTAGTGTGTGTGAGAGAGAGTGTGTACACA